AAAAGACCGTTAAAATGGTTGATGTGTTGTAAGCGTTGGCAAGTTAACCCAACTACTCAAGCTGCAGAAACATGTCTCAAACTATGGGACGTGCTATCGTTACCCAAGGTTGCCTCTGCCAATGTAATCCACAGAGCAGTTATTGAGCTGTTTGGGGTCCAATCCAACAGGGTTCCACCAAACCTGTTCAAACATGCATTCAAACACTATACGACCCTATATAACATATTGGTTGGCATTCTATTTCTGCTTACGTGCCTGTGGAACTCAAGTGCATGGCATATACATATATTGAGCTGCCAAATCAAACCAGATGCGTTTCAAGTCTTCCTAGCAGTTCTCCATTCATTCCAAAACGGCCCGGCTGTCTCATCAAATGTTTCAACAACTAAGCATCCTCCAAAAGGTATACAGGAGCGGAGTTGGTTAGCAACTGAGGCTTCCACATAGGCGTTGGCCAGGGCAAGATTCACGTGCTGGCAAACCTTGCTACTCGAGAAGTAGGCCAGGTGGCACCAGCGTGGGGGGGATCTCCTGGTTGCTCCAGCGCTGTCCTCAGCGCTCGGCTCACCGGCGCCATCCTCTCTGATTTTGACCCCAACGGCGGATCCCCGGCTCTTGTACGGCTGGATTTGGAACCGCTTCTTGTCAAAGGCGGCAAAGTCCTGCTCCGTGTGGTCGCAGCCAGTTTCCTTGCAGCGAATCAAGATGGTCTTCAGCATGTTCTTGATGTCCGCGTCTGGCTGCGCATTGGTTTTCGGGACCTTCGAGGCACGCGGCTTTGCAGGGGCTTTTTCAGCCGGCCGCTTCTTGGGCGTGACCTCCTTCTTGCGCTCGGCGGTCTCCTTGTGCTCGCCGGTCTCCTTTTTGCTGCATTTCCTCTTTGGCTGTGAGCCCTGCACGCTCTTCTCCTGGTCAGCCTTCTTCTTGCCGCTTGACTTTGCGCGCGTAGCCCCCTTCTTCGTGGCGATGTTCTTCTTCTTTGCCTCCTTGGTCTCCTCCGCGTCCTTCTCCATCTTGATGCACGCGGCCTTGGCGCGGATTTTGAGCTCCCCTTGCTTGAGACGGTACTCCCGGGCCTTCTGCAGCTTCCGGGAGCGCACACGCTGCTGCTGCTGCTTCTGCTTTGCCTGGCTCCGTTTGCCCTTGCCGGACTTGGAGGAACCCTTGCTGTCTCTAGCGCGGCTACCTGCCTTTGCAGCGGCTTTGTCGGACTTGTCCTTCTTTTTGTTGGCTTTCATGCCAAACTGCAGTCGGCGGGTGACCACGGGGTGCTCCGGCAGTTCCATAAACGTCTTGTCCTACACAGTTTGAACTCAACCCCAATGCAGTTTGCTTGCAACACATCAGAAGCGTTTTTTTGGGAAACGGGTATAACAAAAAAGGAAACCCCTCCTCATGAAGTTTGATTGCCATCTCCTCTTTCTGGATGACCTGCTGAACGGCATCCGTGTTCATGAAGTCCTCTGGTGGGATGTTCGGGAGCTGCGTCTCATCATCGGCGCCACCGCAAGGGAACTGAGTGTCGTTGAGCACCAAGGTGACACCTCACATAAAGTTCCCGCTATATTCAAACCCCATAATGGTTGGTGACTTTCCTTTTGGTGCAACATTCAATCTTTTAAGCCAACCCCGCCAGTTTCAAAATTAACAATTATGAACGCCCGCACTTCTCCTCCCCTCCCGCCTTTGGCAGGCTCTGCGCATGCGCTCGGGCTCCCAGAGCCCGCCGTGGGGTTGGAGATGTACCTTGTTGGTTCAAATGGATCCATATTGTTTTAGCTCAAAGCAAATATCGATCACTCCTGTTTCATTCATTGACCAGCGACATACGGGACAAAAGGTAACATAATCGACCCGTTTACCTCAAGCAAGTGGCAAGTGGATAAAGACCCTGTAAGCCATTTATCAGCTAAGTGGCAAGGACAGCCGCTGGAGCACGGCGGCCAACTCCTCAAGTGGGCTCCCTTCATCATCAGAAGAGATTTCTTCCACGGTGGTCTCGATGTGATCCTAGCAGGCTTGTGCAATATAGCTCAATTTTGATTGTTTAAGAGCACAAAGCGCTTGTTACTGGACCAATCAAAAACGATCGGTGTATCGATTGGACCATGCAACTGATTCCGAGACACTGGTTGGGAAGGGTAGGGAAACGTCTCCACTCTTCAAGGGTTAGGTGGTATACAATGATGGGAACCTGGGAAACCCCTTCCTTTTAGCGCCAGCTCCTTCTGGGGAATGCCTGCGGGCCTGTCGAGCACGTTGGCATTCAGCAGGGCCTTGTCCTCGTCGCTGTTGGACATGCCCAGCAAAACCTTGGACTGGTCCTGGGTCATCTCCTTGGGCTCCGGCTGTTTGATCTCTGGCTGGATGTTGGGCAAAGGCGTCACCAGGTTCTGTGGCTCCTGTTGGCACTCAACTTGGGCTTGGCTATTCGGCTATTGGGTGAAACACTTGTTTTTTAAAACAGAACTCAAGAAACCACTGGACAGCCATATGAAACAAAACCTGCATGAAACTTGGTTAGGCTGTTGGGCAAGGTTTTCTCCTGGTTCTCCGGCTCCGGCTTGTCGTTGGGCAAGGCAGGAGCGGGCAAGGTCTTCTCCTGGTTCTGCGACTCCGGCTCGTTGTTGGGCAGGGGCAAGGTCTTCGGCTCCGGCTGGGCGTTGGGCAAGGCAGGAGTTGGGGGCAAGGTCTTCTCCTCGTTCTGCTTTGGCTCCGGCTGGGCGTTGGGCAAGGCAGGTTGTGCCGGCAAGGTCTTCTTCTGGTTCCGCTTTGGCTCCGGCTGGGCGTTGGGCAAAGCAGGTTGGGCCGGCAAGGACTTCTCCTGGTTCTGCTTTGGCTCCGGCTGGGCGTTGGGCAAGGCAGGAGTTTCCGGGAAGGTCTTCTCCTGGTTCTGCTTTGGCTCCGGCTGGGCGTTGGGCAAGGTCTTCTCCTGCTTTGGCTCCGGCTGGGCGTTGGGCAAGGCAGGAGTTTGAGGCAAGGTCTTCTCCTCGTTCTGCTTTGGCTCCGGCTGGGCGTTGGGCAAGGCAGGAGTTTCCGGGAAGGTCTTCTCCTCGTTCTGCTTTGGCTCCGGCTGGGCGACCAGCTGGGCGTTGGGCAAGGCAGGAGTTTGAGGCAAGGCCTTCTCCTGGTTCTGCTTTGGCTCCGGCTGCGCGTTGGGCAAGGCGGCCGGCAAGGTCTTCTCCTGCTTTGGCTCCGGCTGGGCGTTGGGCAAGGCCGGCAAGGTCTTCTCCTGCTTTGGCTCCGGCTGGGCGTTGGGCAAGGCCGGCAAGGTCTTCTCCTGGTTCTGCTTTGGCTCCCGCTGGGCGTTGGGCAAGGCAAGAGCGTGAGGCTGGCTGTCAGCCAGGTCAGGCTTTCCGTGGCAAGCTCGCTCCCGTCGAATTGGCAGCTCCTGTAGTGGCGCAATTAGCTTCAAACAATGATTGTTTTGTGTGTATAAGGAGCGCCAACATAACGGCAGCCCAAAACTCTCGGGAAAATAATTATAAATTAAAAAAAACACACACATATCATGAGCACTCAGACTCCTCGATGTTGATGCCCAGGTCGCCAATCAAGGAGCGCAGAACTTCGTCCTGACCAGGAGGACCGAAGAGCGGGAAAGGGATGTCAATTTTATATAGCGTGAAACCAATCTTGGCTTGGTGGTTCCAACTTTGCGACTTGATGACGTTGAAACTCCCAAGAAAAGGTTGTCCTTGGGGGGCTTCGGCTTGTAGATGGTTCCCTTCAGAGCACCACAAAGGCGGCGAATTGCCCAAGCTTGCTGGTAGGCCACGTCGCCAAGCGCAGCATCAGGCTTATACTTCACTAGGAGCTTTTGGATTTGCTCTGTTAATGGATTGACTGGAGGAACTTGCAAGTTGTTGAGGGCCATGATTTTTAGCACTTCCCGGAGGGGGACCGCGTTCAACTTGACGTTTGCCAGAGACTTCGCAACATAGACGTTTTGGGCCAATCCATCGCCGTCGTCGTTCATGATCAAATTGTTCCCGGAACGTAATCGGACCCGAACATCTTCTACATCATCCCATCTTTTGCTCAATCCCTCCATGAAGACATAACGGCCCTTGCCCGGCGAGTCCTGTGGATCCTGCTTTGAACTTGCCGGTGAGCAGCTCGCAGAAAGGGCCATCACACACAACCCAAACGGACCTCTGAGACCAAATTGCTGCGCAGGACATCGGCGATGTGAGCTGGCAAGCACTGCGTGGCCACTGGTGGCTGGAAGGGCATGGTTCTTGAAACAAATGTTAACCATGCACGATTCTTGATATATGTGATTGAAACGCTTATGCCTCTTCCCCGTATCACGGTCCTGGGTCTTCTGGTCGCCGAGGTTCATGGCACGCAGGTCCAACCCGATGCGAGATAGTTCGATTGTTGTGCATGTTTGGGATGGTTGCAAGTGATCCTCGGTCCATGTTTTGGCTGCTGCATTAGAGCCGTTGTGCATACCTGCGTGATCAGCTCAAAATCATGCGTGCGCACCAGGCTTGAACCATCAAGGACGATGATACGCTTCAGCATCAACTCTTGTGCAGCTCTTTCTCTTGGATGTACTGAACGGTAAAAGTCACTCCAACATAAGAATTGTTACTCCAATGCTTGAATCGTAAGTTTTCCAGCTTGGAGTGGGAAATTCAACTCTCACAAAGTAGCAGGTAGGACTAGGACTTCAGCAATGCGAGCCCAACGTCCCACAAATTTTGGGCACCATTTGCTGGATGGCCCTGAAAGCCTGCCAGTTGTGGTCTCCAACATGGTTTTGGTCGAATCAACCCGCTCACAAAAGGGACATGACAACTATATCACCAAACCCATCAACTAAATCGCCATCACAGCCCCCATCACAAAAACAAATCCCCACCAGCTAAAATTCGATTGGTATCCGCCGAAAGACCCCTAAACCCAAAAAGAAGGCGCTTTTCTTGGTACCACCATGGCCTTTTCGAGCCAGGGTAACTCCCACGTCCCTTCCTGTTGGCCCAAAGGGCGAGGAGGGGATGACCTTGAAGATCTGAAGCGGCACCTGACCGACCGCCGGCGACGCTTCCTTTGGGGCCAGGTCAGACGTATCGGTATGAAATTTAATCAGGGACTACGATGTATGAGTGGGATTTTCTTGGGGCTACCTGGAAATTTTGGCAGTTGTTTTTTGCCTTTGGTGGACATCATTTAGGGGATCCATGTCCACCAACCACTTTGGAGGGGGTTCCCTATAAACAGACATAGCCATATTCGCGGTTGTTTTGCGAACAAATTCGAGCATCTCTTGGGAGGGTAGCTGGTTTTCCTTTTGACAAGGTCCAGATTTCCCAAAACAGGCTGATTAACTTCTAGCGGTTTGCATTGAAACAATCGCCACTGTTGCAGGGTCCAAAAAAGGAAAATTGAGTAAATCCTGCGAATCAAAGTTTAATTACCCGCACTCTCACGTTGCCATGCCACCTGACAGGGCGTCCCTACAAGAGGGCATTTATCCAGGTCCCCTCCCACAGCCGCTATGCTTCTTGGAAAGCTGGAAATGAGTCACGGCCCAAAACGTGGCAAGTCCGATGTTTCCTGTCGGATTTGGCTTGGATGCGAGAGGGACTCGGGGGGTTGCATGGCTCCCTCGAAGGCCCACCGGATCAAAAACAAAAAGTCGACGGAACCCGGGGCTCAGATTTGAGTTGGGCCAAGGAGGAAAAAACAAAAAAACGGAGGTTGGGGGCATTGGCCAAGCCGTCTTAGTCATATTCTGAGCTTGCATCCTCAATGCCCGGCCGCATTTTGATCCACCTTTGGTCACATGTTTGCAACTCTCCCCCAAAACAAACATGAAGTCACAATCAAGACCGATCGGTGCTCAAATGGTCGATCCCAGAACCATGTAAAGAATGAAAAAGGCGGCGATGGCACCCATTTATGGCAAGGGGACTATCCCTGGCCTTCCTCCACCCGAATCGGCTTTGAGCCAGTGGCTCACGTGGCTTCTGAAAGAAAGGAACCAAACAAAACCTGGGCTGTGCCCGGGTCCTGCTGAAAGTCTCACTTTTAGCGGGTAACATGGAAACCCAAACACTAAACCAACTAATTATTGGGAGGGTAACAACTCGTTCCATCGGCCTAAGAGATTGCTGCTTTCCAAGTGGTTCAGTGACCCTAGAAAACAGGAACCCTTTTGGGGTTCACGAGAAACCCGTCGAACTCCGAACAAGACAAGGGAAACAAAAATGGGATATATATATATGGATATATGTGTCCACATAGTCACATAGGGGGACCCCCAAAATGGTGCTCCTTGTTCTCCTTTAAACCAACCTGCAAAAGGATACCCTAAAAGAGACGAGCCACCCAAATCTGGACAACTGGGTCGGGAGAAGCCAAGACGCCGCCTTGCGGGTGCCTGTCGGGAGAGGAACGCCACCTGTCCTACATGAGCGTTTCTCAAAACGGATTTGAGTTGGTGCTTAAAGAGAAAGCCAAAGGAAACCAACTATTTAGGGGGACCACCATGTTGAAAAACCCCCAGCCTGTGATATGTTACTATATATAAGCCTACTGAACATGGGAACATTAGGTTGCATCTCCCGGCTGGGTTGAAATTTAGAGAGTCTCTCCAAAACGAACCTTAGACAGGTGGATGTTGCTACACGAAGTGTCGAAAGTTGAATTCTCTTAGGCAAATGCTTGGCAGCATCCGTCATTTTGAGGATCCACCACGGTTGGCGAAACTTATCTCTTCCGCTTCTGCAGTTGCCGCTTGTCAGTATCTGCATACGTCGCTGAACAATGAATGTATAGTTTGAAAAAACAAAATGCGCAGAGAGTCTGAATAATGAATGTAAGTTATCAAATAAATATGGTGCACTTGCTTGTTCTCAGTGCACCTTTCACAACAGGGAATGCATCGCTCGGGCGCTTGGCATTCCCATCGCGTCTCGCCGAAGCGGTCCGATGCCTTTGGCAGGAACTCCATGGTGAGCATGGACACGGCGGTAATCACCTGAGGGATGTTCGGCATCGAAAACGTGGCAGCTCCAGAAAGACCATATTTGGCTGTGGCTCAAAAAACAAAACGCTACCAAAATGGAACCCTGGCAAGTGGAAACATGGAACAAAGCCTGCGTAACCCCTCCTGTTTAATTTTGAGCCGCAGCCATATGTACGTGTTTTTAGGGCGCACCCAAAGTGGATGTCGGTTTCCCTGCTGGCTTCCCTGTATAACCACCAAAAAAGGGTTACCCTAGTAAAAAAGAGACATAGCCCTCAATGACAACTCCTCGGAAAGGGCAGAAGCCCAGTGCAAGCCCGGGATAATTTCAGAAGTTCTGGTGGTTCCAAAGGGATCACCCGTCGGGGGTTTGTTGTGTTTGTTGGAAGTTGAGATGCTTCAAAAGCTCAGGCCCATAGGTGTCAGGTAAAGGCCATCTACTTTTCTACCAAAACAACCAAAAAGGACACCTATGTCCAGGCCGAATCGGCCGTGTGGTCTTTTCATCCAAAGTCATGTCAGGGCCGTCCCTCTGGAACAGCCGGTCGATCGGCTCAGTTGGCTGGCTGGCTGGTCGATCAATGATTGGAGGAATCCATGAACAAGACCTGCAAAAAACTACAAAACACGCTTTGGAGGGAGAATGACCAGCCGCATAAACCTGAGGCGGGACGATGCCCGATGAAACCATGCGGGATTCTTGCGCTATGAAGTTGTTCAGGTCCAGTTGAAACAAGTCAAGCTCCTTCAGCACACACCAGGTGTGTCATGGTCCAACTTGGGACAAAACTACGGGTCAGAAGTCAGGGTTCATAGCAATCCTTGTGCGAAGTGAAATCCAGTCCAACCAGAATAGCAAAAAGGACGAGTCAAGCCAAACGAGCCTATACATCCGTCACCGTTCCATCAATCAACTCACCAAACGAATCTTGTGACTCCAACTGGCTACGGCAGCAACTTCACGCCTCTCCTTTTCAGTGGCTTGCCTCAAACATTGTGCTTGTTCTAGCTATTCAAAGCACCTGAATGGTCCAACAATCCCTTTCAATCAGCAAAACTGGGACTCCAAGTCTGAATCAGGCGTGTGCACAGAAGCCAATGCGTCCCACCGCCAAGCCCAGGGTGGGTTGGCCTAACACCCCCGCGACTGCATGCCCCACACCCGGCCAACAGCGTGAAGGACACGACTGTTCCACGCTGCGGCTCCGTTGGGAAGGGCAATTTCATCCAGTGGATTTCTTTGAGACTAATGGACAAAGTCAAGCTGACCTGCATATTACCGGGAATCTAGAAAGAGGTGGAAAAAAATCCACCTGGAAATAGAAGGTGATCACCTTTTGGGACCTTGACTCATAAGCCAAATTGGAAATCGAAAAGGTCAAAAGGTCGATTCCCTTTGGGCACCTGAGCCGGACGAAACCGCGGCATGTTGCTTGCGTGCCCGTAACGAATCCTCTGCAAAAGAAGTATTTGAACTGTTTCTGGCTCAAATGGCAATGGCTCAAGAACATGTACCCAACATGGCGCCTTGGTAAATGCAATTTCAAAGACTAACAAATCTGCGTAATTAGCCCCCGGCTCTGTAAAATTTTCCCGGCCACGCCCACAAATTCGTTGAAGATCCACTTCGCCCCAAAAGTTTTAAAACGTCCAAAAGAAAGATCCGCTTCGAGGATCCGGTCCCCAAGCGAGGCACCAGCATCCAGAGCAGCTCGAAGCCCTCCTTCCACCCGGAGGCGTTGGCCTGGCAGCGGAGAAAGATCCGAAGGGTTGACGACTGGTTCTTGCGGCTTGCTTGAAATACCCGGGTTTGACTGGTGGTTCTTGTAGCTGCTGATTTCTTTTGGTGGCTTCATCTTTGTCTCGACTTTCTGGGATGGATGGTGTCCCTTTGGTTTCCCTTCCAAAAAGGGTTCTACTTCTTTGGTTTCCACCCTTGGTAAAATTGTGAGCAAACGTGGCTCTTTGCAGCCCAAACATGAACAGAACCAAAAACAACACTGAACAACAAAAGGGATACAACAGTGTGTTTGGTTGAATGCCTCACACGCTTCGGAGTCAACGCTGGATGCCAACTCAATGTTGCAAGTAAAACAACCACACGCAACCACATTTTGGCAAAACATATACTAGCAAACTAGGGGTGACTGGCCCTCCCAAAAGCAATCAGGGAAGCTGAACAGTCCCCAGGTTCCCATGAAGGGGGGGCGCGTCTTTCTTAGTCAGTAGGGGGACCCCTCCCCCCCCAAAAAAAAAACGTGTGTGTGTGTGTTGTCCAAAAAAAAGGTCCCTCTTGGTTTCCCCTTCAAACACGCCCAAAAAGGGGGCACCCTCTGAAAATGACAGACCCTTTACGGGACCGTGCCCCCAACATTTCCTGCTTGGTTCCAAAAAAGGAAACCCTGAAGAAAGGGTTCAGACCCAGGTGGAGTAAATCATTGAGTCAGGTCTTCTCTGCAGTGGATGCTTTGCAGTTTTTTTCGTGTCCCACGTCGGGACCCGGGACCCACCTCAGAGTGGAAGGGGTGCAGCTGAGCCAAGCCGATCACAATGGCCAGGCCATTGCAAAAGCCCACCATGACCTGAAGCCCATCGTGAGGTTTGTTTGCCCAAAAGTCTCCCCTTCAAAGGGCCGAAGCCCCGAGCCCAAAAAGAAAAGGTTGGGTGGTCAAATTGAGGACATGACCTGAAAAATCAAAATCTTCCCAAACAAACATTCCGCCATGTTTGGGGGAGGCACTGGCAACATGCCTCTCTGGGTCTTCTTCGCAATCTCAGGGCGCGAAACATCGCCATCGGCTGCCCTTCTGCACCCGTGAACAGATCACGCCCGGATGAACAAAGCCAGATTCGAGCCCCCCTTCTGAACCAAGGAATTGAACCCTGAATTGCAACTGCAACTCGAAAAGGAGCCCTACGCTTGGAGGGGGGGAATCCGTGTCTTGCCTGAAAAGAGCAAGCCCGCAGTCCGATCTACATGTACCTGGACCCTCAAACTACCCATAAAAATTGGATATCACCCCATAATTTTGGGGGTCAAACCCATTTTTAAGGGAATTTTGAGGGTTCAAGTACCTTTATGCAACGTGCTGGCGTCCAACGAAACGGCCACTCCAAGAAAAAAATGGGAGGATGGACTGACCCGGAGACGTGGGACGCCCCTTGCGTTCCCCTTGAAAGCCCTGTGGGTCCTAAGTACGCCAGGCTCCCAGTATGCGGCGAGTGGATAATTTCGAGGTCACTTTCATGGACATCCTTTCAGTTCAAGGCTTTCTACCCTAGCAGCTTCTCGGCTGCTTATTTCTTCCAACAGTGGAGAAGGCAAATCAGGCATCCTTCAAGGAGATTGGGTGGCTCGTTTGTTTCTGAAGGTAGTCGTGTTTTTTTTTTGTGGCTTTAGCGCGAAACCAAAAGGAAAACCGATATTCGTTTTAGGGGTTCCAACCCAAAACAAGACTGGGCTGTCCTCAGATCCCCTGCTGAAAGTTGAACTTGTGGGTTAGATGGAGGCCCAACCACTAAGCCAACTGAGAACCAAACGGCTTTTTTTGCTAAAGTTTCGACCATCGACCTGAAGTTGCCTCTCTTTGAGGCCACCTGTCGGTCTTGGGCAGTTCCGTTAAACCAAACCGACGTTGAGATCGCGGGCCCAGCGGCCGGGGTCGGCAGCAGCAGGATGAAGCGGGACAAGTTCGCGGCGCTGGCCGCCAGCATCAAAAATCCTGGTTTGGCGGGACGGCTGGTCCAGATCAAAACAAGCAGAAGCGGCTCGGCTTTTTTTGGGAGGGAGTAAGGGCGAGGAAGGGGGGGGGAAGGGGGAGGCAGTATTGGGTGTGTTTTAAACGGGAAGTGTGTTCGTTTGTGCTTACTTGCTTGCTTGCTTGCTTGCTTGCTTGCTTGCTTGCTTGCTTGCTTGCTTGCTTGCTTGCCTCTCTGCCTGCGTGCTTGCCTGTCTGCCTGCCTGCCTGCATGCTTGCTCGCTTGCTTGTTTGTTTGTGTGCTTGTTTGTCTCTCTTGTCTTTTTGCTGCTAGACTTGTTGGGCATGTTTCAAGGGTAAACCACAAGATGTTGTGTAGATGGCTTATTTTGAGTCAGACCCATTAATCCATGAGATTTAATGGGGCATCATTGAGATGGGGATTCATGTCCACCAACCACCTTTTGAGGTGATTCCAACTCTTGAAATCCTACCCATCTTCAAACAACCTCGCCAAGCCTGCAATATGGGATATGTTTCTTTCGCCGTGCGCCCTCATTTCAACGGATACAGTTCCAAGCTGCCAGCCATGGTTTGCCCGAGAGCCCGTTGCACCCCCAAGAAAGAGAAGCCGTCGGTCACAGAGCGCACGCTCGAACGAGTAGAGTGTCTTTTTGTGATGGTACCCCCTTGTTGGTGGTCAAGGGGAACCAAAAAGACCTTCATTTTTTGGGGCTCCCCCAGTTGTGTCAACATATCTAATAGTCTATTTGGGGGTCTTGTTTGATTTCAACATGAATATTGACCATGGCTCATGAATTTTGGGAGGGACATTAGGGGGACTTTGCTCTCCGCAAAGAAACACCTCTTGCTGACGGCAGGTCATGAGTTTGGAACACCGAAGCTGGTGATTCGTTTAACACATGGGTTTTGAGGGTCTTAAAGCATGCTTGGTGGTTTTAACGGAAAGCCGGAGGGACAACCTGCATCGGTTTTTTTTTTGGGTCCAACCTTGAAAAATTACACCCCCACATAGGATCATGTGAGCCTCTGTCAAAATAGACCACTGCCAGCAATGGATTCGCAATCACCCCGGTGTCTGTGGATTGGCAACTCCCACGCAAAACAGCCTGGGTTCTCTTTCCAAGGCGTGCCAGCCCCTTTAACACCCAGACGTGGGCACACATACCATCGAAAAAGACAGATCCAAAAAGACGTGGGCGTCCTTTTGGCTTACTGCTTCTTTCAGTGTCCATGAGAACAACTGGGCGAGTTTCTGTTTCACCCGGTCCGCAAGGTTCACTCAATGGGTGTGCCTTCTTTTTTGGAGGGTACCTCCATTTTTTTGGTGATTTGAAAGGGAAACCAAAAGAAAGGCCACCATTTGTCATTTTTTCTTTCTGGGGTCCCGGGAAAAGCTAGGAGAGACACCCGAATGTGGTTGCCCGACTCAAAGACCACCTTTGGACTCAGCTCGGGAAGATGAATCGAGAATTGGGTGTTTCCTGTCTACGGTGCGGCAAACGCAGGCGGTAACGACGGGACGTAGAACCTGTGGTGCCCATGCTGTCTCCTGCCAACATCACGGAGGGAAACAGCAACTCCACGTGCTCCCCATTGCCACCTCGTGCACACACACACACATACACACACACACAAAAGCGCTCGCTGAAAACTGCAAACAGTAAAAGGAACCACGACACGTGACTTTCTCAGAAGGAACCCTCTTGAATGGGTTTACCTCGGTTTCCCTCACTGCAAATTGAAGATCCTGCCCATGCGTGAACACAATCCTTCAATCCCAACTCCGAAGTGGGTGTGCCTTTTTCGGGGGACCCGAAAATCGCGGTAGAACCTACCGAAAAGGGTATCCTCAAAAAGACACACCCAAGTGGACTATTCCGTGATAGCCATGCGCATGTTGAAAGATGGATGGGGACTGACCCTCCCCCCCCAACAGTTAATGTCGGACATGAAGTGGGCATTCAGGGCTCGGCGTCAAAAAGCTCGCGACATAGTACACGAAGACCAACGATCCATGGGCTCTCACATAGCTGCATCAAGTACTTCTCCTTAAGCTACCAGGGAACTCAAAAACCACGGAGTCTCATATCAAGCAACGGGGCCGCGTTTTGGGGGCATGCTTGGTCCCGTTAAAGTCACCTATAGAAGTGGCAGGTTAAAGGGAAACAACTCCCCGTTGTCTGACTGTAGCCCCCAGAACGGTAGGGTGGGTTTTTTGGTCGGACCCTTTTTCACGTGCGAGAGCAAACAGCGCAGCAGTGGTTCCCCAGACTTCCCCAGCATTGGCAGGTGAGTGAGACAAGTTGGAAGGGTTCTTTGGGCCTGTCTCATTTGGCCTGAATTTTAAGTGGCACCATTCAGGGGAAAGAAAGGTCCACCAATCACTTTTGAGGTGATTTCAACTCTTGAAGCTCGAAGCCGAACTCGGTTGCATGAAGGGAAGCCAACAGAGGGACTGGCCTACTTTAGCAGGTCCCCCCTTTTTCTCTAGCCTGGGGTTGGTGAGTCTCGCACGCTCCACAAACATAGGAACCGGAAAGAGGGTCCCTGGTCTTGGACCCGGTCCAAAAAATATGTTTCCATGTTGGGAAGAAAAAACCAGAGCCAAGCGCCTTTGGGGACCTTAGGCGCCCCGCTCTCATCCCAAACACCTCCCCCCCCCCCCACAAACCACCCCAAACCATCCCACCCCACCACCCTCCCGAGCTCACGACCCCACCCCCTCCAAGCCCAATCCCTCCCCCTCTCCGCCTGGCACCTTGGGAACCGGCAAAAAGGTGGCGATGATGGCCGCAAAGGCACCGGTGGCCCCGTTCACCATGCCGGGCCTTTCATGGCTCAAAAGCGCGGGAAGCAAAAACCATCGGCGCCTGGCTGGCTGATGCTCAAGATTTTTGGCTCGCTCCAAAAAAGCGCCGAAAGGAAGCACCGGCACAGGTGTCCTTGTTGGTTGAACATAGATGGATTCCCCCTCCCGTTCATGAAACAAGCGATCGGACCGATCGCTCAAAGCCATCTATATGTTTTCCAAAGCCAAAAAGTAATGACACCTCTTCCCACAGTAGGGTGGGTAGGGTGATTCCCTCTTCCCACGAGGTGATTCAATCGACTCCAACCAATCGACTCGATCTTCCAAAGCCCCATCGAACCGAATCCATCGACTCCCTGCCTTCCACCCAGCAGGCTGCAAAAGAGCCCTCGGCCGGGATAAGAAAAAACCCGCGCGTTGCTGCCCGCAAAAACACCACCCCCAACTTGTTGTTCTTGCTTTTGTATTTGTCTTGTTTTGTTGTTTGTTGTTTTAATGTTCATTGTATTGTGTTTTTTTTGGCGGGGGCATATTATCAGGCAACCCTCTTCAACAACTTCCAAAAAGAACGACATTAGGTTGACCATCACCCACATCCTACCATCATGGACAAGCCGCCAGGGTCGAGCCAACGGCCCTCTCGGTGTTTCTTCGGACCCGGCTGGCATTTAAATGGAAACCATCCATTTAACCAAATGTCAGTAAGTGTGAGAAGCACCCATACCTGGCCGGTGATTGGAAACCTCCATCGTGCCACGGTGTGCGATCCGTTGCGAAGCGGGATTTTTTTTTTCCCCCTGCTCGGTTTGCGATCTGTGCCTTCAACCCATGCCAACGTTGCGGAGGACATTGACATCGACTGCAAATGTTGACCACCTTCCAGGTCCCCCCCTGCCCTCCATGATGTCATACCCCCCGGCACCTCTCCTGTTTAACCCGCTGGGCTTGATCAGTTCCCAGGGCATTAATCATGGAGGAAACCATTTGAGGGGGGGGCAAACGTGCATGTCCATGCAGATGTCTACATATGTATATATATATATATATATTTGCATCCAACACATACACCACCCAACAGCGGACCGGGAACATATACGTGCATAATGGTTAATGAAGGTATACATGCAACCGCATATACGTATAAATGAACAAACATACAATTAGAAGATCAACGGAGTGCCCCCAGAAATGCAGCAAGCCACAAGGCTTTGCCTAATTACTCTTGCCAGCATGCGCTGAGAATGGAAGGCCCAACATGGTGCCCTTTTGGCTTCACTTCCACACCGTACTTGCAGCGTAGAGTTGATTCCCTTCTGGGTGGTTTCTCTTTGTCCCAGACCCAATTAAGACCGTCGCCTTAGCTGCAACAACAGACCCTACCCATCAATTCAACCTTCACCCAGCTGGATGTGTGTTCCAACCTTGCCATTCCCCGGCCATGTTTGCTGTTTGCCAAAACGGATGTCTTGGCCTTCAATCAGTCACCCAAACGCCGTGGGTTACAAAGAACCAAACAAATATGCTGTGTGAGCCCCCGCCCACCCCCGAGCCCCACCCCAAGCCCCGCCCCAAGCGAACTCCGACATCCAACGACCTATCCGTATGCAAAGGGTCCGACCATCCAGGCAGCATGCAAGGCCACGTGCGGCCGGACATGGGCCAGGAAGGCAAAGGCCACGGACTCTGGCACCTTCGAAATAGAACCCGGCGGTCTCGTCTTCCCATTTTCGTTGCAGGAATCGGATGACCCCAAAATTCACACATATATATATATGACCCTTTTCCTGGTGCCTAGGTGTTGCTAGATTTCACATTTGTTTGGCCAAACTTGGGCACCAAGGAAGGGGGGTGTGCCACAATTCTACAATTAAGAATTCTGGACCCAAGATTGCTGGGAGACGTTCAATGTGACAATTTGGAATTCAAGATTCAATATTTCGAAACAATCTTTTCTGGAACTCTGGAAAAGAGAATCTTGCATCCCATATTCATTTTAAAACTGGGATTCAAGATTCAAGATTTAAAAAGAATATTTTTTTTCTGGGAATATTGAATCTTGAATCTCATATTAAAAAACAAATATGGGATTCAAGATTCAAGAGCCAAGGTTTCAAAATAAACTTTTTCTGGGAATCTTGAATCTTGAATCCCATATTTTTTGTTTAAAGAACAAAAAAACATCGAGGTGTGTCCCAATACACTCGGTGTTCAATAAGATTCTCGGAAAAGCTTTCCGCAAATATTTCACTCTCGAATCTTCAATCCAGTGGTAAAATGCGTTCGAAGTTTTAGAACAGCTTGATCATTTTTTAGGGTTTGACCAGGATGGAAAGTTGTTGTTTGTGCAATCCTCGATATTGAATCCTCAATCCAGTGGTAAAGCACTTTCAAGTGTGAGAAGAACTTGAATGTTGTTTGGGTTTGGCCAGGATTGACAATTCTCAGGAAAGTGTTCTGTGTAATCTTCAATCTTGTTTTTTCCATCCAGTGGTAAAATACTTTCAAGTGCTTAGCGATCCAGTGGAAACACTTTCAAGTTACTAGTTAGACACACTTTCAAGTGCTTTTGGTGAGCGGTTTGCTTCATGTTAGCTATGAAGCATGTTGACCCTTTTCCAGGAGGTAAACAAAGGTAGGTGTAATGCTCAAAAACACTGTATTCTACAGTGTTTTATGTTTTATAAAAAGCCGCAGGATCATTAGGGGTACTATATATATATATATGCGTATGTATATATATATATACACATGTATGTATGTTCACACACCGTCACCCCCCTCTTGAACTACCTCTCCACATTTGCTCATCTACTACCTCCGCCTTTTGAGATAGAATGATTTGTGTTTTTCTGTGCAAATAGAACGTTCAATACAACTGATTCAGCTAGAATCCCTGTATCGAAATAGTTTTCGAATTTGAACCTCTCTTCCCTTGAAATTTCCATTCGGAACACCATCTAAGAAGTTTAATTTCGGACCTTTCTTATGCTGCAAAAGGGCCAGGCTAACAATAACACAAATCGTATTTCGAATTTCCTTGTAGAAGTCCCTTACATGTTTTGCCATATTTAATATGAACTAAATTTGAGAAGTAGTCTCTATTTAATTGTTATTATAAACAGCTAATTGAGTTGTGTTCATATTAGATTGTATCTAACACTTAGATTCTGTTTGGGCAAAACATATAAGCTCTACAGCCTGAGCGCTGAATCAAGCAACACACATGTATATATATATATATATTGTTTTTTGGTTCTTTCGGCCTCCGGCCTTCAGCGCTGGTTTCCCTGGTCAAAATGTACTTAACGTTCACAAAAGGTGCAGACGACCGGGTGTGTCTCAAAGCCCGATATTTGGGTTGGGGGGGAACGCACGCTTTCGGGAACTGCTCGAGGGAAAAAACCCACCGGACTCCGAACCACTTCAGTTCACGGGGACACGGCCTGTGCGAAGCCGATGGTCACTCCCAGCAAGACTTCCTCGCCGGTAGGTGGGTGGCGATCCGTCTTTTTTGAAGTTGGAACCACCTGTTGGTTGGGTTTAACGGGGAAGCCAAAGGAAAACCGAAATCCATATGGTCCACAAAAAGAAAGACGAGTCACCCATGAGTGAAAATTAAACCAACCCTTTTAACGGGTACCTTTCAAAATTGCACACCCACATGGGAAAATTGGGTTCGCCCATGTTCGTCCCCTGGTTTGCGTGGTAAGCTAGAGCTCGTTCCCCATCGCCCCTTCCAAATGAACCTAGACTAGGCATCTTGACTAAACCTACACAACGCTCGCCTTACGGCTGCTCCTGTTCGACCCTGGCACTTGGGTAGCAAAGTGGCGGGGAACAGAAAACGGCTGACGCAAAGCTGGAAGCTGATTGTGTCTTAGAACAGACCCGGAGTTGCGGATCATGTCCCTTTTGGCTTCCCTTTTGGTCCCGACCTGATGCATATCCCCAAAAAAGGCGAGCCACCCATTTGCCGGTCCGATTCCCAGCCCCCTCCAGTCATCCCGAAGTTTAGGAACAGAATCGTCCCAAAGTCGCGACTCCACTTCAAATGCTGGATCCTCGACCACACCGCCGCCTCCGAACTTGGTGGGCGCACGGGGTCTATCTTGCAGCCATCAAAAAGACAGACCGGACCCAAATAGACCGTAGACTCGTAGACGTGTCCACCGAGACCCCTTTCCCCCCGTCCTTGGTGATGTAGCTCCCCGTCAGCCCCTCTCGGACAAAGAGGTCCTTCGGAAAGAAGCGGTGGCCTGCGAGCAAAAGTCGTTCAGCCCAGCGGGGTGTGAAATGGACAGCGCCTGAAATGTGATGGGAATGATGTTTCCCAGCCCTGGGTTCGGTTCGGTTTGTTTTGGTTCGAGAATCTTTAAAGAAAGAATTGGTTAGGTTTGGGTTAGGTTGGAGAATGATTGATTTCTGTCCATCCTTTAAAACTAAAATGAATGCTTCTTTTTGGGGCCCAAACTCTGTAAAGACTCGCCTTCGCCTCCGAAGACCTCATCGCCGCGGACCCCCAGAAGCCCAAAGCTTCTCGATCCGTGCCATGGAGGGTTGCGAGTTGGGGAGTCGAATCAGAAACCCTTGGGCTTCTGAACGGTGCTTTCGAAATGGGCTTCGTCCAATGTCTCATTTTCAAGGGTGCTCAAGTTCAAGGGCCCCCTGAAACTCAAGGTGGTGGTCTGATCTTCAACTAAAAATACCAACCAAAAGGATCTCCATCAAGAGGATCTCCATTTTGAGAAACCCCTGTCAGAAGGTTGATGACCAGCTCTACCAGCCCCGAGGGGTCTCTTGTCCATCGCACATCTAGGAGCATCAAGATTCGCGCCCTGTCTTCCGCGACCGTATGGACTTGCCTCTGGATGGGATATGGACCGCCACAAGTCGTGTGCCGGTTTCCCTTTGACACCCCCAAAGGATACCCACAATAAAGACAAAACCTTACTCAAGGTGACGCACCTTTGGGAGGACCCTGGAACATCAAGTTCCTCTTGAGGGACCCTCTGTCAGGTGCGATGTTCGCGAGAGACAATTGCCTCCAACAAATGTTTGCTTGTTCCCAGAGAGGACCTGTTTTTTCGCTTTGGGTGGGGGCCTTTTTGCTTCCTTGGCAGGAAACTTCAAAGATTGTTCGCCGGATCCTCCCCTGCATAGGTGACCTTTTGGTTGGAGAACTAGATTTTATGGGTTCCCTGGCGCCCATGAGGTATACATGCGGCATCAAACCAATCTAAACCAGAACACATGTATTTTCATTGACCAAACTAACCCATCAACAGGACACCTATGCAGGTGAACCCATGACTCGGTCCTTGCGACCACAACATGGCGCCCCTCGCCTAGGCCAAACCAACCACCTGGCGCACTGGCTACCGCCTTGGCGTTGGTGGATCCTCGCCGGATGCATCGGAGGTCAGTACAGGTAGGGGGTCGGACGAGGGGCCCGGGGCCATTTTCAGGCAAGGCGACCCGAAAAAAACAGCCTCTCCAACAGCTGGGGCCAAGCCGTGAGGCGAAACGAGGAACAGGCGAAAGGTCAAATAAGGCTAAACAGGCTGAATAAGGCTGGGGGTTCTGGGGGGTTGGGGGTTGTAGAGCTTCCCACCCGTATGTTGTGACTAGGCCCCGTATGCAATGAGGAAACACTCAAATTGGCTTGCACTGTCACTACCAACTTTGAGCTAAGATCAAAGGCGTTCCCCCCACTACCCTCCAAACTGGAAAAGCAAACTCGATACACAAGCACGTGTAGCCTCAGGGGTACATACCCTATTTTCCCCTGCGGTTCTTGTTTGCGGGTTCTTGTTTGCGAGTAGTGGCTTTGGGTGAGTTTCTTTGGACGCCATCTTAGATCCAATGCCGGCTCTTGTCTCGTAAAAGCCCGCCAAGAGTTGCAAAGTGATCCAAGAAGTTGCTCGCTGGATCATCCCCAATCACCATTAAGCCTTGGCCCAAAAACTGCTGACAACCTCCCCGCCAAAACCCAGCCCACTGAGCATCGCTTGCAACGCCGCTTTCGTGACATGTTCAAGGAGTCTACAAGGGCCTGAATAGTTCGAATGGGGTTGGCAAGGTACCAGATACCAATTTTAGCCATGGGAGAAAACTTATTGGTAAATTATGTAGGCCCTGAAAACCAAAGATAAGACTCAGGCCTTTCTCTTGAATCGGACTGAGTACCCTCCCTTCCACGAACATAGCACCTGTGGGAGGGTACCTGGAAGATCATCCTCTAGGGAGGTGCCAATGTGGGAAAACGGCTCGCAAGACTCCTTGCTCGAAGAGGTGCACCTTGGACGTGGACGTGGACCCCACGGTCCTGTCGGGGTCGAAGACCCCGATGTTCAAGCCGAGCAAAGAAACCTCCGTCCCGTTGAGGACGGATCCACCGGGAAACGGGTACATGAAAAAATGGGGGGGGGTGGGAGACGTCCTGTACCGGGACGCTGTGTTGGTCTCATGGCGTTTGGAAATATGAGGAAACACATGGCAAAAAACAAGTCTTGGCGTTTGCAGCGGTCCAAGTACCCTTAAACCTAAATTGCCCATCGAAAGCACAAAGGGTGCCAAGCCGCCGTGCACAGGCTCTGCGCAGAGGCTACATGGAAACCGAAGCCCATCTGGCTCCATGTTGCTTGTCTTGCTGGTGCGATTGGCAGGGTCTGGGTGTTGGGATGACCTGTTTGGGTTTCCCTTACAGGAAACTATAGGGTACAAGCGGGCGTCGTAAGTCACCCCACGTCGCGTTCAGTCACCCCAGCCATCCCCAGCCGCTTGGAACTACGCATATCCGTTTAAGTCACCCCATGTGTTTTAAGTCACCCCATTTTTGGCAGAACACAATGGGCACAGAACTGGAAGGGCAATGTTGCCAACCCCAAGAATTCACCGCACACTGTGCGCACATGCTCAAAACTCACTGGTTTGGGTTCATGTTGAATGCTTTTCCCGGGCAAAACCCTATTGGGCACACTGCAACTAAAGGGTTCCTATCCTTCAAACATAAACAGTGTTTTCTGTTGGCTCCCAAGGCCAAAGCGTTCAAAAGGGCTGCCGGCGCGAGTGCCGCGCGAGTGCCGGGTGAGCCGTGCCCTCATCCCAATGAAGATTGCTTCCGCTTGTGGCACAACTTAAGTGCTGCGGCACGAGAAGAGAGAACCACCCAGTGGCAGTGAACATACACGCATGCACACGTCACATGGAAGCCGACCAAATGTTGATGTTATGAATCTGGGATCTCATGGGCACCTTTCTGTCAGGATACCTCGAGTAGAACATCATACATTTTGCATGCGCACAGCACAGAATTATGCGATTTCAGAAGATGACATGCTTGAGACAACTATCCTTACATCCACAAACACAACGGGCACACTCACCCGGGACGACTTAGATCAACTCGGGACGACTTACAGCACTTACCCTGTAATGGTTTATAAGGGACAAATGCTGGGGATGGCCTTTGAAACCGCCATGGTCAAAACTCCAGTTGTTTGGCCTGTGGTCATAGTTCCCTTAATAGGAATCACCCTGGTTATTGAGGATCCTTCCCAGGTGGATGGGCGTTGCTAACCTGTATATATAGGAACCGGTCTTTTGACCATGGCATGCCTTATGAAAAAAAAACTATCCCTCTCCTGCTGCTTGGCTCTGAGACAAAGGCCATGGCGCCAACGCGAGGCGCTCGCTTTTGGCGCTCGCGAGGCTGGCTGGATGCGGATAAGGAGGCGCTGCGGCGGCGCGAAAGGGCGTGTGTGCGCGTAGGGCTGAAGTGCTAGTTCGGAGAATACATTTGGCTGTGGCTCAAAATTAAACAGGAGGGGTTACGCGGGTTTTGGTCCATGTTTCCACCTACCAGGGTTCCATTTTGGTACTGGTTTTTTGAGCCACAGCCATTTGCTTTTTGAGTACCCCGTGGCTTCAAAGGGACACCGAAGGAATTACAATTTGTGGTTGCCACCCCTTTCAGGCAAGCCCAGTCCAATCATATGATTTACTCCCCTGGTTAAACAGGTTTTTGAACGACTCTTGTTTAACAGAACCCTTTGGATGTCCCTCCCTTTGAAGAAAAAAAAGCTGCTTGAACTCGAGCACAGCTTTCCCATGCCTTAGCCCCTTGCGGGGCCCGGGGGCCACGATCTTCGATCTTCCAGTACCATTCTGGAAGCTAATGTCAACTTCCGAAGAATGACCTGAGACTAGTGAACCCCTGTTTATTGACATGTGGGTATGGCTCAAAAAACCGGTACCAAAATGGAACCCTGGTAAGTGGAAACATGGACCAAAACCTGCGTAACCCCGCCTGTTGAATTTTGAGCCACACCCATGTGGGGTCCGCGGTTTTCGTGGGGTTTCAGACCACCTCTGGAGGGGGTTTCCCCCACCCGCATATTAATAAGCAGGGGTCTATTCAACCGGGGTCAACATTAGAGAACCGCACCGGTTCTTCCCTGGATGTCATTCACTGAAGAATCCTTGCGTTGGCAGGGTCCTGTGGATTACTCTCCCAGGTCTTCCAGTAGCGAGGTTAGAATAAGTGTACCCTTTTTCTGTAGTCTATTTTAGTAGGGGAACCCTCCCCCCAAAACCACAAGGGTAACGGTAAAAGGGCACCCAGCTGGGGGACCTAGTCTCCAGATTCACATGGAACCCTCGTCCGGTTCACACACATCACTGCCCATAGGTGTCCTTTTACGGGAAACAAATGGCCCTGGCAAATGATTACACCAACAGGTAAACCAGGGCCATCTATTCTCGGTTGCTTTCTGCTCCCCTGCTAAAAGTTTCACTTTTAGTGGTTTAATACGGAAAACCCATTAGTTGGCCAAAATTTCAAGTCCTAGCATCCAAGCAAAGTGCGCCAAAGCTTATTTTTCCGCCAAAACAACCAAAAGGACACCTATGCCAACAACCACAACCAAAACAACGAACAACCTACCAAAAACCAAAACAACCAAAAAGGACCAAACCAAAACAACCAAAACAACCTAAAAGAAGGACACCTATGGTCCGGTTCGCCGAAAAAAATGCGTCCCAGACAAAAAGCCGCTGCCTTGGCCTGGCGATGGAGCGCGCTGCTCATCACCAGGTGCTGGGTCTGTGACCGCAGCAGCGCGCCTCCCCGCTGAGAAAACGAAGGGAAGCCCTTAAATCAGTCCGTTGCTTTCTGCTCCCCTGCTAAAAGTTTAACTTTAGTGGTTTAATGGAAAACGCATTAGCTGGCAAAAAGTTCAAGTCCTAACATCCAGGCAAAATGCACCAAAGATCAGGTACAGTTGCAAAACCGCGGGGGGAAGTCTTCTTGTTCAAGGTCAATGAAAACAGAGACGGGTTGTCAAGAATTGAATTTCAAGGAATATATTTGGTTTCAAAGGAGATAACTGCAGTGTTGTACTAGTTGAGACGCGAATAGGGAGTGCTACCAAAGCCATGGCGGCGGGATCTAGCCAAAGCCCCATGGCAAAGAGTGCAAATCGCTGCTCATCCACACTAAATCCCCCCCCCCAAAACAAAAAGAAAAGAAGACCATGTCTAGGGTCCCCATACTAAGACTCCCGACCGGATCAAATTTTCCAATTGGTCGGGCGTGGCACATCCCTCCTCTACTTCTTCGTCGCCCGCTCGCCGGGCTTCCGCGCTCCAGCGCTCCTCTTTGAGGTCGTTGGGCGCATCCAAGGCCAAAGTGACCTTCCCCACTTCGTTGGCCTCCTCCTCCGACCGCTCGGTGTTCGGCTCGGAAAGCCCAAAGGTTGGGCGCTGGGGAAAAAAAGAAAGGGACATCGGAACCAAAATAAGCGGAAACAAAATCTCATTTGGAGTTTTCTGAGCGAAAAGCTCTCTTCCGGGCCAAAGGTTTGAAGGGAAGCCAAAGAGAAAGTCGAAGCTCGTGTGGGGCGTCGGCGTCGAGCCCATTTCGACACCGGCTGCACAGGAAGTTGAGCCAGAGATAAGTTCGCGTCTGCTAAACCCGGGGTCCCTGTTCAGTTGTTTTTGTTTTCTGTCTTGCAACGGAAACAAGCTGGGAATCCTGGAGTCTACCGCAGTTTTTTCCAGAGTTTGGTTCACTTGCACAAAAAAATGTCACGAGCGAGTCCATGGATTCAGGGCCGCAAGGTTCCTTGCTCGGAGGAGTCCTGACTTTTTGGATGGGGAATCTCAGTCATCACAGACCGCGCACAGAAGCGAGAGCGACACAGCACTGGCAAATCACGAGATTCCCAACATTGAAATGGCGAAGTGAATCTTATTTGGCGACCCGTCAGAATTCGGTGAACCCAGTCCTCGGTTTGAGTCCACCCGGTAGCCAAAAACATGGAACCCTGGTTCACTCGATGTCCCTTAAAACATTGAATTCTCATGTCCTGTTTCACTTTTCACTTTCCCAGTCTCCAACAAATCTCTGAGGTATCTGCCTGGAGCAAACCAACTGAGGAACCTGGAGGAAAAGGGCATCCTGTTTTGGGCCTTGCAATAGAATCCCCTTCAGAGCAAGGACAAATTGGGGAACTAGAAACTGGAAAAATAGGTTCCCCCATTTTGGAAAAATAAGTTCCACCAGGCTTCTCAAAAGGTCGTTGGATTTGTTTTCCCAGCATGGCGTCCTTTGGCTTTGAAGAGAATCCAGCACACAAGGGGGAGTTCTTTCGGGAGTTGAACCCCAAAGCAAAAACGGGAGTGTAACTAATCGCCCTCCAAAGAAAAACGTCGGTGGGAAACCCTGCAAGATACTGTAATTGGTGACATGTTCCATGGCTTTGCGGAAAAACCGCATGGTTGGTACTTGGGATATGGTAGGTTTCATGGCATCCGTATCAAAACCGGAGGCTGAATTCAAAACACGGGGTTTTCGGGGCCCCGGCCGCCGAGTAGATGGAAAGGCACACCTTGGGCTGGAAGAGCTGCCGACACCTCAAGGCGGAGGGGGGTGGAGGGGGAGGAGGCGTGGAGGGGGAATGGATGGGTGAGGGGAGGTGGGGTGGGTGATGGGAGGTGGTGGGGGTGGAGGGGGTGGAGGAGGTGGAGGGTGGAGGGGGTGGAGGAGGTGGCGGGGGTGGAGGAGGTGGCGGGGGTGGAGGGGGTGGAGGGGGTGGAGCGGTGATTGGGAGGTTGCGGACCTTCCCCTTCGTGGGAGTGGGGTTCAAACCCACCCAGACCAAACCCGCAAAAACCTCCTAACATCTGAACAGAGGCAAAAGCATGCCAAGAACAAGGGACCTGCTCTGCCTTTGATTGTTTGACCAAGATGCCCATCGCGCATCTTCTGCTCGAGATCCTCCGACTCACCTCGCGAGTCGCGATCGAATTTTTGGCCCTACGACACCCTCCATGAAGACAGTCTCAATTGGTGGCTTGGACTGGTGGGCCCCCTGGGTCGTGTAGGGGGTAAATGGGACACCCCTCCTTAACCACCAAACCACCAAGTCAAACCACCAATTACCAATCGGAGAGGCGGAGTAGAACCACCTGAAATTGCCCCATTGGAATCTCTTTTTACCTTATTGCTCAAACATGGTCACCGCGACCCAAAATGGGGGGTCGGCGTCCTTCCTGTAGCACGAAGGGGTACAAAGCAAAACGAACGGCCAAAACGATTGTGGCAAGACCCCTAAGGAGGCTCAGTCAAAACCCCGAGAGGGAGAAAGGGAATCTGCTTGAGTCCTCTGATTTGTGTGAGGTGATGTAAGTCCCCCATGTGCTTCCCCAAATGGACCATAGACTACTGGAATCGTCGACCAAACCTCAGGCGGGGAGATGTCGAAGCCCAGGAAGGTTGAAAATAGTATTGCACCTGCCTTCTGTCCACGCGAGAGTTGATCTTCCAGTTGGGGGTGTCTTTTTTGGAGTTGGCCCCGCTTTTGGTCACCGAAATCCATTTTGGTCCATGGCTTGGTCTCGAACTCCGGGACCCCCGTTGGTTTCCCTTGGGTGCCCATGTCAAACCAAACCGGTTGCTCCACCCAAAAAAAAAGAGACGCGCACACACATGGGTATGGGTCAATATTGAACCGCCAGGGGACCGCAGGTTTTAGTCTTTGTTGCCATTTACCAGGGTTCCATTCTGGGTACCTATTTTTGACCCACACCCATTTCACCATGGTTTGGCGGGATTTTTCGTATGGTTGGTTTACTGGCAACCTGGTCCTTGAGGAAATGACCATGGTGACCACTGCAGGCAGGACAGAGACGACGCGTAGACAGGTTTGTTCAGGACTGCAATCTAAAATGGCAGAATTCTTCCCCAGTTTGGTCCACCCTTTCTCTGACGGAAGATCAATTTCCTCCAGGGATCCTTTGTAAGGTGCTATGTTAGTGGGCGGTGTCCAGTATGAAGGGCATGTTCTGGTATGGGGGTTGGAGGTGTGGAGGTCACGTGCAAATGCCGTTGATACTAGCCATGTACTTGCACTACTGGAACTCTCGACACATATAGAATTCCCGAGGGATCTTCATGGGCAAGCGTGTGTCCTGGCTGAACTTGTTCTATCTTCAGGCAGGCGGCAATGGAAATCCGGTAGGCTTACCCCAGTCGGGGTTTCAAAGTAAGCCCTTGCAAAGGGTGAAAGCAAATGCCACAATTCTCTTGATTGCAAGTAAAGGGGATGAGTACGGAGAAAAACAAGACAGTTGTGATGTGTAGCAATTTCCCCAGACATGAGCTGTCCCAAGATTACAATGAACTGGCAGGCTAGGAGCTCGGCCATGGATGAACCGTCTTTTGTGCCCTCCAACCGG